TAAATTACTACAAAAACATATAATAGACCAAAAAATTGCAATGGTTGAGCAAGTAGTGCCAAAATGGTATCTGTGATATGATTTATTAGATAGATAATTAGATAGTATAATATTAATATTAATATGCACTATTACTATGACACTTCCTTGATCGACCATCTATCTAAATGATCCATCAGCTTATTATTTGAATTATTTGACTTCAAAAATGCTTCGTTCCTTAAGAAACGGATCAAACGTTGTTAAACAATTACCTATAATCAGAAAAGGAATTATTACCACAATTAGCACGAAGTCTCCACGGAAAAAGCAAATCGCCATAACTCCTGGTTTGTTATGGGGAAATAAACAATTAGAACATTTCAGAATAGCGATAAATGAAGTAAAAGATTTCGAAAAAATTTTTCAAGAAAGCCCTCCAAAGATTGAAAGTTTATCTGAAGAAATAAAAGAGGCATTTTCTATAGATCTATCTAAGTTAGACATTTTATATAATATAGATTGGGGAAAGATAGGACATAAACAGGTTTCCAGAGTCGTAAGATCTTTACTGGCAGTAACAAAGACTCATAGAAACGTTGAACATCAGGAAATTAATTTAGCATAAACTTGCATAAATCTTACAACACTGACATAATATTGAGTAAATCTTACAGTGCAGATGTAAGGTGGTCTTGCAAAAGAACTACTTGAGCTTTTTAATTACGATGAAGGAGATCTGCGGATACAATGCCGCGAAGAAATGAAACTAGAAATGTGTGGTTCAACAACAAGCACAAAACCTGATGTCTGCATCGAAACATCTCATCTCATGATAAAACTATTAATTAAGGAAGACAAGAATTACCAAGTTTTCAATATAAATACCGTTGCTGAACCACAAATCATAGCTGAAGCAATAGGTGCATTTCAGGAAAATAGCAAATTTGGACAACCTTTAGAATCGCAGTTGTTGCCTTGTATAACCATGCTCGGAACCTGTCCTGCGTTCTATTTAATTGGAGTAGCTAAGGAGCTAGCGGAATGTGTAAGAATTGGAGACCACCCTAAGGAAAAGGCTATTGTTAAAAGATATGCTATTTCGGCACCAATAATTCCAATGGGAGATGCGATGCTGTTACAAAATCATAGGCATCATATATTTCAATGTTATGAAGCGTTTAGAAAGTTCGTAGTAAGAAACATGTAGAAATATACTTTTTTTAAACAAGTGATATAATAATATTTTGTATTACAATTACGCATAAAAAAAATTTTTTTTTTCATTTTACAAAATGTAAAAAAATTAATCTATATATAATTCAAATAATAACTTCCCATGATAATTCATCCCCAGGACATACATTTTTATATAATTTGGATTGCTGCTTGTATCGAATGTTTTTACTTACGTCAAGTGTGCTAAGGGCTTTTATTTTAGTCAAATCGTCAAGATAACCCTGGTGAGAAACTGCTGTTAGTCAATACTTTAGTTCGTCATACATCATTATTCGAAATTCCATCCATTACCAAGATTCATTCGAAAATCCACAATAATAATTCTTTTTGGATATTTGATTATTCAAAAAGGGGATTAATGAACTCCAAATAAATCTCGAGGATTATCTTTGTGATTTTAAAAATTTTATATCAATAGTTTGTAGTTTAGGTTCTCATAAACAAATGACTAAAACTTTATATTCTTGTCACGTCTAAAAGGCTTGTTATTAAAAATAAACTGATTCCAATAAAATTGATTAGATCAAAAAAAATTTTCACGATTTTTAAAATAAAAATTCAGAGTTAACTGAAGCTGAGCGAGGAAAAATTTTAGGTCTAAGAATAGGTGATTGCGATAGGATCAGCGGATTAATATTATTGTTATTACAAAATAAAACTTTCTTTCGGTTTAAAGTAAAATTTTCTATGAGCTTTTGTTGGGAACTCGCCAAGTTTCGCGTTGCATGTTATATTGTTATATCGTTCACAATTTTCATCGTTTCTTGATTTTTTTAAATTCAGTTCTTTCGATCTTCTTGCTCAGAATTGATCCTTCCGTGCTTTTCTCTTGTTCGTTTCTCTTTTCTCTTATACTCATAAAAGACGAACTATAGGCCGATACCCTTTATTCCCATTTCTTGATCACCGGATCCCAACATTAATTTATCATTTTTTAAATCCCTTTCTTTCTTTCAAGTTTTATTCGATTATTCGTCTTCTTTTTTTACTATTACGGGTCTTTTGACGTTCTTCCAGTTTATCGAAAAGAACTGTTTTGTTGGTGGTTGGCGGCTCGTCATTTCAAAATCATAATAATAAAATTGAATAATTTTTTAGATTAATAAAAGATTGCATATAATGAAAGTGTTCACGACTCATCATGTCGGTTAATTTAATAAAATTGTTTAGACGGTGAAATTTTGTCGTATTTTGTGATTATCTTGTAACCATTCTGATGAAAACAGAGTTATTTCTTTATCAAGGGAGCAGGTAATTATCTACATTTTAGAAAATTTTAATAAATTTGGGAGAAGGAAAGGCATCAATTATAAGTGGAATTATGAATTTTTATTTTTGTTTAAAAACTTTTTTTTTTTTTTAAAACAAATAATTTAAAAATATAAAAACAATTTTCTATCAAATTATATAATTAATTTTTAAATCTAAAGCTTTTTCTTTTTAAAAGGACTAGCATCAAAGAATTTATTATCAGTAGTGTCCCACATATTGCTTTCAACAAAGCTTATTAATTTTTCTTTTGACTCGGTAGTATTATTTAATAAATGTTGAAAATCAGGTGATAAAATTTCTTTGTTTGACGCTAATCCTTCCTCTACCGCTTCCATAATTACAGCTGCTGCAACCTCAGCTGATACACGTCTGATACGTTTTAAATCGGGATAAAGAAGTCGTCCTTCTGCTTTCTCCTTAGGTGATACCGAGTTTGCTAATGCTGATGCTGCAGCATATATTTGCTTGTCGGTGATTTTTTTTGCTTGTGCAAGGATGGCACCTAATCCTAATCCGGGACTAAATAGAGAGTGTGTTTATATTTAAGTAAATGAATGAATATATGCATGTAAAATATAACATGATTTAATTTTATAATAAATAGGATAAAAATACTTACAATATGTACATATTATTTCCTTGACCTGGATAATGTACTTTTTTAGTTTCAGGTTCAACGTATTGTGGAAAAGCTGTACCTGAAGCAAATATTACAGTATTATTTGTATGTTTCATAGCCTAAAATATAAAAAATAATTATAATTATTAGTTGAGGAATCTGTTGAAAAATTTCTTCAAAAAAAAAAAAAAAAAAAAACATCATACTTCTTCATATGTACATTCAGCATTATCAGAAGGGTTAGATAGTGGAAATATGATTGGTTGTTTGTTGAGTTCAGCCATTCTTTTTAATATTTTCTCGTTGAATACACCATGTGTAGATGATAAACCTATCAAACAAGTTGGTTTAACGTATTCGATCACTTCCTCAAGTGTTTTGTATTGTCGACCATTGTTATCTGATCTCGCAAAATAAACTTTATGTCGCGCCAATTTGTCACCACGATCTGACGTTACTAGCCCCTATTATATTGGTAAAATAGATATTAACATTTTCATTAATTAATAATGTTTAACCAATTAAATTTTTCCATATATATTTAATTATTGATTTAATACTACCTTAGTGTCAACCAACCAAACCAATTTTTTAGCATTTTCTTCACTCATATTATGTTCAATCATGAAAAACTCAAGTAATTGTTTTGCAACACCAACACCCGCAGACCCAGCACCAAAAAATACCAAACGATGTTCTTTTGGATCAATATCTTTTGTTAATTTGACGGCATTTATGAAACCCGATAAAATCACACCGCCGGTTCCTTGGATATCATCATTAAAACAAAATGTGTTTTCACGATATTTTTCTAATAAACCAAATGCCTACAATAAATAACAAGAAAAATGCTTATTATTATTATTATTACTACTACTATTATTATGGATTAATGACACCTAATATATTTATATTCTGTAATATGTGAGAGATATACTAACATGTTCTGAAGAGAAGTCTTCGAATTGAATTAAAAGTTTTGGATATACTTCAATCAAAGATTTGACAACAGCATCCATAAAAGAATAAAACTGTTTGATTTGTTTTTTTTAAAAAAAAAAATATTATTGATATTATTATTTAGCAAATTATTAAAGCTAACAATCAATATATACATAATCACTCGCTCACAAAATAACAAATATATATATATATACCTCGGTATCAGATACTCTTTTTTGTTTAAGCCCAAGGTAAAATTCATCGTTTAAAAACTTTTCATTATTTGTACCAAGATCAACAGTGATAGGCAAAGTACGACGAGGATCAATTCCAGCAGCAGCAACATATAATTGCAACTTTCCAACCGGAATACCCATGCCATTTACACCTAAATCACCCAAACCCAAAATTCTAGAACCATCAGTGATGACAGTAATTTGTGGAGTTAATGATTTGTCAAATTGATATGGTTGAAAATTTTTTATGATTTCTGTTAAATTGGATTTGTCTTTGAGTGAAAGGAAAAGACCGTCTGGTACACCAGGTGGTGCAAGGAATGGGTAAATATTTGAGTATTCTAAACATGCGGTTCCAACAGTTGGAGTATATACTAACGGTGTGATTTCCTAGATGATTTTGGTTTTAGAAGAAAAATTTTTTAAAAAATTTACAATTAATACAAAATAAAGTATAATCAAGAGATCTCCAACACCTTTCTATATATGTCTAATTATATTATTACCTCTAATTCTTCCATCAAGATACGGTAAAATAATCTAACATTAGTGTTTCTTAACCAAGCAAGGAACGTGTATTTTTCCAATTCAGTTGATTTAGACCGCAATTGAATCAATGCACGTTTCTTCTGTTGTTCAATTGATTCAACGCCATATGGACTAAGACCAGTAATCTTCAAAGAATTACGTGTTTGATGAGATGTGGAAGTTCCTTTATTAATTCGGAAATAGGTAAAGATTTAATTTAGCATTTATTTTTGGAGAAAGAGTATAATGTTGAGTGTAAGTTGAAAAATAATTCGAGATGTGTGGAAGAAGGAATTTAATTATAAAAATTATTATTAAAAATACACACAATTTTAAAATTTATTTACCTTGATTAAGATAAGGAGATTTAGAGATACATTGAACGATTTTACTATTAATATTACCATTTACACTTGGGCCACGCATTTTTCAAAATGGTTAATATTATTTTAAATTTATTATAATTTTTGAAAACAATCCTTTTCAAAGATGATTACACAAAATCGGTTCAATTGGAGTATTACTATTGCTATTGCTATTGTTTAACAGGACCAGAGTTGGTATTTGTTGTTATAGTATTTATATTATTGATTTTTGAGAAATGAAGTTTTTTGTAAAGAAAGAAAGAAAATTTTTCGCTTATATAATGATGAAATTTGTTGTGAAACCATGGTGATTTCTTTATCAAGTTCCTCTTTACTAAAATTGTTAATTCAATTAATTATTTTGTTTGATATGTACGAAATTAATTATGAAACGCTAAAGTGTATAGTAGTAGTGGAAAAAGAAAATTAATCGTGTTTATAAACATATCCTGATTTGATGATATAATTATGATGATTGAATAAAAATATAGTTAAAGAAACTAACTAATTTACTAATTAAAAAATTATTGTATTAGTATTATAAATATTAGTAGTTCCGGTTTTTTCCGGTTTTTTCCTGATTATTATTATTTACTATTATAAAAATGCAAGATTCATCTTTGATCAAGCGACTTGGCATTCTGTGTGAAATGTTTTACCCACAAAACCTTTTGACTCACCAAACAAATCAAACTGGTATATGGTATTAACATAACAAATGTGTCACAAATACAAATTTTTAAGTAAATAAAAACATTATTATCTATCGTGGAAACTTTCTTTTTGGTCTGTATAATTAACTGTTGTAGTAACATTTGTAATTATGATCTTCGTCATAATCTGAAGAATGTGACTATATACTTGTATAATAAGAAATAAATAATTTGAATTTTATAAATTCACAAAGTTCATAGTTATAGAATTATAGAGCCGTTATTTCGATACAAATACAGATTCGCCATTTTCATCGTCATTGCACCAAACTTTTACCTACTCGACATTATCAATT